GTGTGTGTGTGTGTGTGTGTGTGTGTGTGTGCCTGGGTGTGTGTGTGTGTGCGTGTGTGTGTGTGTTTGTGTGTCTCTGTATCTTGAAGTGTGTGTGTGTTTGTGTGTATGCATATTATGCGTGTGTGCAACACACACAGTGTTAAAAAAAGGATTGTACAATGCTCGAAAACACACCAATTAACTAAATAAATTTCTTTGGTAGAAAACAAAGCTACTCGTCAGAAGACGAATCAATGACAATTCAGTCATAGCCAGAAGTAAAACACACAAGCAAGACACAAAACATGAACAGACAAGTGCAAATGCCTGATAAATCTACGTTACACAGCACATGACAATGAAATAATGAATGCACAGAATACACAAGCTAGGAAGAAAAAACATAGAAATAATGAATAAAATGAGCTACTGTCGCACAAAAAAATAGGGAAAAGTACACAATGGCAAAAAAAAACAAAGCATGAAGTGCTCCGTACACGTGAAATGGATATGTGCACCAAAAAAAAGCAACAAAACATCAAATAATAACAACAAGTACACGACACAAAAACGGCAGACAAAAACAAAGTTGTGAAAAAGTGGCTGATTTCGAAGTTGAACTAATGACCAAGTCACTAAAAAAGAGCAAACGGAAAAAAATCAAACAAAACTAACATAAAATTTGCACATGTGCAGCCTAGTACCATAGGATCAAATATGTAATATTTTTGTGAAAAATGCCTTGTTTTGGACAAAAAATAGGGACTTCGATTTCGTGTTTTTAGAAAAAAATGTCAGTTTTAATGAAATGTCAGTTGGAGGGGGTAGGAGGAGCGGAGGAGGGGAGGGGAGGAGCGGAGGAGTGGGGAGGAGCGGAGGAGTGGGGAGTAGAGGAGTGTGGAGGAGCAACGCAGGGGGAGTCGGGGAGGAGTGGAGGAGCGACGGAGTCACGAGGAGCAGCGGAGGGCATAGGAGCGGGGGAAGGGAAGGAGCGGAGGAGTGCGAGGAGCGACGGAGGGGGGAGGAACAACGGAGGGGGTAGGAACGGGGTTGGGGGGAGGAGCGGCGGACGGGAGACGAGCAGCAGAGAGCGAGCGGTGGAGGGGGAAGGAGCAACGGAGAGGGAGGAGCGGCGAAGGGGAGAGGACGAGTGCAGGGTCAGGAGTCGGGAGGAGCAGCGGAGGGGGAGGAGTGGAGGAGGAGCGGAGGAGTGCGGAGTTGGGGGGAGGAGTGGTGGAGGGGGGAGGAGCAGTGGAGGGGGAGGATCGGCGGAGGGGGGAGGAGCAGCAGAGGGGGAGGAGCGGAGGAGGAGCCGCGGAGCGAAGAGGAGTCGCGGAAGGGGGAGAAGCAGAGGCAACTGACGTGCAGTTGCCTCCACTTATCTGTATGACTTCCAAAAACATAGTTTTCCTTATGCGAAGAAAATATGCAACTTGGATGTATTGGCAATAACATGTCGTTTGCTTTTTTGTGTTCCATCTGTCTCGTTGCTTGACAAAAAATATAGGTTTATGCCCAAATGTTTGTGACAACGGCCAATGCATGTCCTAAGTGCTCTTTAGTGTCAGAAGTAGAGAAATCCCGTTCCAACGTGTGCTTCCCTACAAGGCTCTGAGACTCTGGAAATGGGAAATGGGCACTGTCAACATCTGAGCTTGGGAGTGGGCACATTCTAGTGGAACACAAACGAGGAATCCTCACTTGTCCTTTGTGAATGGGCATCTGCGTTTTGGGAGAGCACGGGCCTATTCGAGCCCGCAGTTCAAGCCTTAGGGATCCCTAAACTGCCTCCCTTCAGATGGGTGGCTTCTAGTGGTGGCACTTGACAGTTCCCCGATTCGGTCTGACAACTCGAATTTGGGAGCCTGTGGCAAAGTTCTTTTTTGTTTTTGTGGCGAAGAACTCCCAGAATGTGATGATTTTGGAGTGGTCCGGTGAGGCCCTTTGTAAGGGCTTAGTTGCACAACTCGCCATCTGCCACAATTCGTGGCGGATGTGTGGAGAGTGAAAAAAAAACAGACTCGTGTTGAACTGGAGGCCTGGGTGCACTTACTCGCCATCATATTTCTTCTACAGAAAAGTTAAAAAAAGTTGTTTGCCTGATCTCCACTCATGAAGCGCTGCACTCGCCAAGAAGTTGCTTTGTGGAGAGGTCACAAGGATGACCCCCCACAAATAGCGGTAGAGAGTTGGGAACTTGCCTCACTCTGTGGCGGATTGAGAAAGGAAACTCGGCAAATGTTCTGAGTCTTCTGACACTGACTGACAGGTTTCCTTGTACCGAGTTTGGCGAGTAAGTGCAACCAGGCACGTACTCACCAAACTTGGCGTATGGAGAGTAGTGCAACGAGGCCCTTAGTCCTCTCCTCGTCCCACTAGGGTGGTGAGGTTATACCTTCGGCCAATATCAAGTGTAGTGTCTGTTCTGATCAACAAACACAATTAGTTTTGAGAAGAATGGTGTATCTCATGCGGAAACAAAGATGCTCATTTGGTCACGTCCCGGGCTCCTATTCTGGCGGAGTGGCAGAGAAAAGGCATTAGGAAGGGAAGGTCTGGCATTGGGGCAGATTGGCAGAGAAAAGGCATTAGGAAGGGGGGGCTGCAAGGAGGCGAGAAGAGATCAGCTATGGTTGACGTTGGTTAGGTTGGTCTTGTCTCTGAGGAACAGTGTCCTGATATAGGGAGGGCTAGGAGTTGTTCTAGGATTAGAAGGCCAGAATAGCTGATATAGCATAATCTTCTTTATTTTTTCATATTTTTGAATCATCATTCTGATTAGCTTCATTATCTATGGTATTATCAGTATCATCAGTATCATCATGGTCATCATCATTCGAGGATCGCTAAGCCCGGTTCTCAGCATTTTACGTTCGATCACTCCGGGCAGACTGTGAGGACCCCGGCCTCAATCTTATTATTGGAAATGTCAGCCTTGGGCACCGGGCCCGTTATTAAAAAAAAAAAAAAAAAAAAGGAAGGGAAGATCTGGGATTGGTTGGCTTGAGAGAATGTGGGGTAGGAACGGACAACTTCCGATGGTAAAACCACAATCCAGGTTTAAGTTTTGCCTGTTGTTTAAAACCACAGTGTAGTAACCAGGGCACTCTGTTCAACAGTTGCGGTAGACTGGCAGCAGGTGGTAGACTGGTTTTGGAACTTTTGGTTGGGTTGGTGTGAGAGTGTAACTGTTTTCTGGGAGTCGGTTTTAGGCTCCCTCTCATTGTATGGACTGGAGCAGTGTAGTCCCCCGTACNGGGAGGAGCAGCGGAGGGGAAGGAGCGGAGGAGGAGCCGCAGAGAGGAGTCGCGGAAGGGGGAGAAGCAGAGGCAACCGACGTGCAGTTGCTCTGCTTATTTGTATGACTTCCAAAAACATAGTTCCCCTTATGCAAAGCAAATCTGCAACTTGGATGTATTGGCAATAACATATTGTTTGCTTTTTTGTGTACCATCTGTCTCGTTGCTTGACAAAAAATATAGGTTTATGCCCAAACGTTTGTGACAACGGCCAATGCATGTCCTATGTGACAGCCTTAAAACCCGTTTTTAAAAAAATCAACGTAAAGTTTTTGACTCGAGTCCAATTTTTACGAAATGTCTACTTTTCACGAAGTGCATGTTCTTCCTCCTTCTGCCCTACTTCTACTGCGGCTCTGGCCGCCAGTCTTTTTTTTTTTTTTTTTAACAAGGGGCCCAGTGCCCAAGGCTCAAATTATCAAATGAAACACAAGCCAAACCCACGCCTCTTCCCACTAGGGCTGGAAGAGCCTCAGCCAGTGCTCGTGTGAAGACGGCTTCCCTAAATGACTCGATTCCGGCAGGGGCAAGGGGCATTGATTGCTTCCCCAATAAGGAAGGATTAACCCAGCTCCAGGCAAATCAAACTCCACCCTGCTCAAATCTATTACCAGTAGTTGAAAGCACCACACAAAGTGGGGGGAGATCACAGCAGGACAAGAGAGGGTCCGACATCATCCAAAATCCCAGTCAAACCCTCAGTATCTGTGATGGAAACTTACAAAATATGTGTCTCCCTAATGCAATCCGCATTTATGCAGACACTATCCAGGGGAAAACACGTACTGAAAGAAAATTTGAATCTATACTTACCCGCCTTCTCACAAAACCATGGCAAAAACACACTTTGAGATAACAGCCTATCCATGAAATATAGAGCGAGAAAGTGGAGATTAACGAGTGCTAAAATAAGCATCCCTCTCTTTTCGTCATTTCAGGATAGATCCAATCAGATCTAATAGACAGCAATTCAATCACATGAAGCCCCATTGAAGGTGGCCAATCAGAGCAGTTCTACTGGACTCAACCTTATTCCAAATTGTAGAAGCTCCGGGGAACAGAGTCTCCACACAGCCGGCTCMMYCYRA